TATATAAAACTTTTTAAGTGTTATATAAATACATAAAAAATTATATTTGTTTATAAATCTTATGTATCAACATATAAGGCATTCAATTGGTTTTTTATTTTCTTAGCTAAATTTATGTTTTTATAAACATTATATTAATTAATTCTGGGTTCGTCTACAGTCCATTAGTTGATATTGCAAGGTTCTGAAAATTGGACTGGACACAACCTAAGAAGGATGTTCAAGATTCAATGGTTGAACCAGAGTTGAACCGGGTGACATTATAAATATAAAAAATATTAAATATAACTTAAATGAAATAATAATGATGTAGTATATGTAGTATAGGAAATATATCATGAAATATAATGAGGTGTGAACTTAAACTAATTATATAACTCTCAAAAAGAAGTCTAGAAATCATGTATTATGATCCAAAAACTTTCTATCAAAAAGCAATAAATAATCGGTTCAACGGTTAGACGCCGCTTCCAGCCGGTTCAGAGATTGTACTGTCGGTTCTAGCCGGTTCATCCTGGTTCAATGCAGAGATGGTTTTTACGCCACTCGGAACCGGACCTTCGGTCAATTCACGACTAAACTAATCGAACTGGCCGATTCGATCCAATTTTTAGAACTATGGATGTTGCTCGTTGGTCTTGGGCCAAAGGTTTAAAGGAGTCCTTCATGTCTCCCCATTGTTATTAAATAAAATTAAAATGGCCATTACTTTTAATATTAATAAAACTAATGGAATGCAAAATTAAAGGAAAAAAAAATCAAATCATTTGTTCAACAAATTAGGTTTATCAAATTTTTTATTATAGATGGTTTTAATGATACGATAACTCTAATTTTAAAAATAGAAATTAAAATAAATTTGACATTAAATACATACGTTTTTTTTTTATATGTTCGGTGTTCCATTTGCATGATGACTTTAGTTGATAAAATTCTATAAAGTTATAGTTTGAAACGAAATATATGATCATATTTGCATTTCTTTTAATGCTGAATGAACCATCTAATTTCTTAGTTTGTATGATAGATGCAATATATATCTGTCTGCGCACGCGCTCAGCCTCAAGTCGTGGTCTGTTGTTTGGCGGGGTTCACTATAAGTACTCATAGGTCACGGGTTCGATCTCCAGTGACGTTGGGTTCTCGAATATTTAGGCACATGCGCGGGCTCTCACAATATGGTCTAGCGCATGAGAAATTGGTAATCTATCGATATATGCAGAGAGAGATGCATATATATAGATAGATGTATAGATAGATACATGCATACATATATAAATGTAAACATATATAGATATGTACATATATAGATGCAAGATATATATATATATATATATACATATCATGTAGCTTTCCAAAAGACAGCATGGTAATTGGTAAACTATTATAGCACTGGAAAATCATGGAAAGTGCATTAAAGGCCACCTGTGACAGTGATTTAAAAGGAAAATATGAAACACACAACAAAACAATACATTTCATAAAATTACAAAAAGAGAAACAGCAGTGGTGCCAGTCAAAGCTGGCAGAGGGCTGAAATTCCCCAAAACCAGCATGCTCCAGCAGCTATCATCACCTCGAATGGCTAAGAAAACAAGGGAGATAAATTGGAATTGACATCACATTTTAACTCATCAAATAAATGGAAGGAGCTTTTAAATACATACCACTTAAATCTTCTATCACCCATATCAACATCAAACAATGACTCAGCCACATCATCTTGCATGCATCAATGGACACCACCATCACATCATTGCATTCAATTTTGGCAGTTTTGTAAATTCTAGAAATAATAAATTTTACCTAAGCCATTATCTGTAGGGACCAAGAAACTTGCCTTATAGAAGCCATGTGACATTAATCAAAGGGCAAATATTGATAATATATGTGATAGTAACTAGGATTCAAGGCTAAAAAATTCCAAAATGATAGTGATTAAATCATGATAAGGCCATTATTTTGAAACCCATATGATGATCTTTCAATGATGTTTTCTTAAAATTAACTATACTTTCAAAAGTATCAAAACCCCTATTAAGTCAAATTTAACGCGCACGAACAAAAATTAACTTCATTAAATTTCCTTCCTTAAAACGTTTAAGCTTTGGACCCTAAAACCTTAACAAAGTAATATATATCCTTGTTGCTTGCCTCATACACATGTGGACATATATGTACACTAGCATGTTTTATGCTCCACTGACACCAAGACATGCACCTAATGCATTTCATAGGAATCCTAGGTTTGTGATAAATTTAATGATGTGTATGTAATAGCATAGTTGTGATGTGTGATTGAGTGATGTGATATATTGTGATACAAGAATTTAAGGAAAATTCAATGGAAAGCAAAAATTAATACTGAATTCAAATTTAAAATTACTGCAAAACAGGATAGAAATCTAAAATTGCAACAAAATAACACACAACACTAGAACTTGGGTTGGATTTTGGCTGAATGTGGTGCCACTAGGAATTTGTTCTTCCAGGGAGGTGGCAATAGGGTTGGCTAGCACGCTGGATGGTGGCGGTTGCAAGGGGGAAAGTGACGACGGTAGGGGGGAAGGGGTATGACGCAAGGACAGCGGTGGGGGTGTTCTCTTGAGTGGCGACAACAAAGTTGGATGGAAAAAATCAAGAGGTCTGGTATTTTCTAAGTGGTGACAGCAATGGGGGAGCGGTTAGGGTGAAGGGAATTGGTGCGGGAGAGAGTGAGGGATGAAGGGATACACACCACCTCGAGAACCTAATAAAGCCAAAGCACCACTCAAAACCTTTGGATACATCCTAGAAAAGGAAAATGATGTGTCGATGACTGTTCCGAAACAAATCACAGCAATAACTAAACCTAAAACACAGAAAAGACAATATATAGTCTTAGGATAATTAGGAGTACGCCCCACTCTAATTTGGCAACAATGCAAAGCCTCAAAGGTCTGACAGGACCCTTAGAAGCCTAGACCAAACAGGCCCATGTGTGTCGGTTGATGGAAACCCAACAACTAACACAATAATTCAGTCTCTCGGCATAGTGCTGAAAAGCTTAAACTGTCCATGTTACTCATCCAAATTTTTAGATTCAGATTTTATGCTCCGAGGTGGTGGTTATGTCATTGATCTTGCATTGTTTGAAATCCTTCCTACAATAGTACAGTCCCCGACTCCTTGTTTTTTGTCACTCAGATTGTCATACCCCTTCTTGTTGTCACTCGGATCGCCAGACCCCTTCCTCTTGCAACTCAGCTAGCTAGACCCCTTTCTGTTGCTTCTCCATGTCACCAAGCCCCTCTCTAGGTCGCTTTGCTTCACCTGTCTCTTTCGTTTGTTCCCAACAACCTTCCAACAACCCCAAGGCAACCTCCTTGATGCCATCCCAATCAGCTACCTCCCTGTTGTAGCCTCAATTTGCCTCCAGCTGTAGCCTCAATTTGCCTCCAGCTACCTCCCTGTTGTCGTCCCAATCTGCTAATGCTTATCCCATTGTCTCCTCCTCCCTGCCATTCACTGAAACACTGCTATAGCCTCTCTAAACTGTCCCACAGCTGTTGTCCAACCAAAAATCATCACCTTTCCCCTCCCCCTAGATTCCCATTTGTATTAATGCCCCAATCTGCTAATGCTTATCCCATTGTCCCCTCCTCCCTGCCATTCACTGAAACGCTGCTATAGCCTCTCCAAACTGCCCCACAGCTGCTGTCCAACCAAAAATCATCAGCTTTCCCCTCCCCCTAGATTCCCATTTGTATTAATGTCAGTTTATTTTCAATTTTATGACCCTTGTTTAGTTTCTTTCTATTTTTCAATAATAATAATCTGATTTGCTTCTTTTGTTAGATTTATTTGGTATCACTTTGCTTCTGTCGAGATTTACTCCATTAAAAAAATGTGAGCCAAACTTTTCATCTATTTTTTAATATTTCCTCCATCTATAACTATCTCAAATTCAAAATAGCATTTCGTCTAATAGAATGCTTAACAAAAATTATGTACATCTCCATATTCTCCTCATGCTCATTAAAATCATGTACATCAAATTAAATCTTATGCATACATCATTACTTGATTTTTTTTTTCTCAAGGTTATATTTCCTTGGATTAATGTGTTTGTTAATCATAATTTCACACGCAATCATTATTATTATAGGCACCTAAGAGATTCAATACTAAATGTGCTACATAGTTTTGATAGTATATTACTCTTATAGAATGCAAACCCAAATAATTTAGGGGTCCAGAAGTTAACATCTCTTTTTATTTTAATAGGAGTTCCTTCAATTCAAAATTTTTGTAAGTCATGTTGTATATAGATAGTGGTTTCTTGATGACTTATCACACACGCACATACATAGATAGATAGATAGATAGATATAGATAGATAGATATATAATGTAAAACTAAAATTCACTAAATAATGCAAAAGGAAAGATTATTGGCATTGGATCTATCATTAAGGACATTAAGAACCCTATAATATTAGATAAAGTCTTGCTTGTATTTTAGTTTAAAATGTAATTTAATATATGTTAGTCAATTATGTATAAAGGTTTTGATGTAGCCATTTATACATCTCACTGTATCATTATAAGTATGAATATTATTTTATTTATTAAACATAGGCATGAGAATGTTTATTTACTTAACAAAAAAATTCAAATGACATCATTTTAATATTCTAAAAATACTTTTTTTAATTAATGATAATAATTAATATAAATAAATCAAGAAAATATTACTTCAAACAAATTCATATTATTTTTAATTTAAGTTAATAAAATATAATTTATTAATACTAATGAAAATTTATTATGATTTAATTAATAATTGTAGAGTGATATAGGAAACATTAATTACATCCATTGAAACAAATTATGTATATGTAGGCGCAAAGCAACGATGCTATCTATCAAGTTTGTATCATGATGGGTAAAATTTATATTGAATTGAATACAGTAGGCCCACAAAGGTTTGACAAAACGACACCAAAAATGGTATATAAATAGGCCCACTAATAATCATTGTGCAAATAAGTGCGACAATGGTATATAAATAGGCCCATTAATAATCATTGTGCTAATAAGTGCAAAAGTAATACTGAGAGAGTGTGACAAGCCAATCAACCACTGGAGAACTCAGGGTTCACCAACTCTTGGAGAACTTAACTATAGCTCACGAACGTAGTAGTATGATCTGAAAAATACTCGAGGAACTTGGTTGAAGTTCATGCAAAGGGTCATCGAGTCCGACTGACACTCATAAAACATATGTTAGCCCTCCAATGGTGTTTTCACTCGGCGACTAGATTTATCCGACAATATTGATAGTCGTCCGATTGAAAATTCGCTCAATTACCTGGCCCTTAACGCCCATGAGTCATAAAATTTTCTTTCATCTTCTCTCAGAACACAGGTCAAGTGCTTGTGGTCATTCCCTTCTCACTCGCAACAAGATCTATGGTGGGCACTACATGAATCACACTAGTAGCAAGTATGGACGGTTACTCCCGCAATGACTGAGACAATATTTGTTGAATATTTCTAATGTAAGGCGAGGTCTGTCAAAGACGATGACTTAACCAAGCAACCAAGACATGTGTGATGTAAGACTTGGGTCAAGCAATAGCATAACAAACAAGTCACGAACTCTTTACATTTTCATTCATTTATTCAAACTCTACAACACTATCCCAATCAACTGGCCTTTCGGCCCGCCGACTAACTCAACTTTTAAATCAATTTAGTTCACCGATTGTCTAGTCGATATTTTTTTGTGGCTGGCTCAACTTAGGTACACAATATTAGAAATAAAAATAAAAAACTCTAAGATACGACCAAACAAAAATGCTTTTTCAGCTTTCATTCATAAACTATGAATTGGATTATAAAAATTGATTTATAAGATACATGCAAATAAAGAAAGAAACTTTTCTTTTCTCTTTACAGCCAGCAGTCATAACCAATCTAAACATTTGATGACCCGTCATTATCTCCATCACCCCACTTCCTTTACTAGACTCTTCCCTCAAGTAGAAAAATTCTCCTAATTAGACCAATCAGAGGTGACTAGGCTAGTCTTAATCACGTGACCAATATCATACAAGATCCCCTACTAGAATTTCTCTACTAGTATAGCCTTCTGTACTGGATGGGAAGAAAGCTCAATGAACTCACCTGGTGTCTTTGATATAGATAGACTCTTCTTCAAGACCCCATTTTCTTCTTTGTAAATGAGCTCGCCTATCTTTGCTTCATTTAACTTTTTCTTAACCACCTCCCCCTTCACCTTCTCCTCGAGCTCTAGTTGAGCCTAACAATCTTGACAAAGAATGGTTGACTATAGGCCATTAAGTGATAAATGTCAGTCATACGACATAGGCCGGTCAAGCTTTGTTATAACAAAGCATCCTCCAATGTATGAGACTACATCACCTTAGCTATTATAGAGGGATACCAGACTGAGCAAAATTTTAATCTTTTTAAAGATTAACGAGAAAAACTTGATACTCAGGCTGTTTGTCACCTCCCAAAAGAGCTCTTAGAGGTGGTGGGCACCCCAAGATTTAAATACTACTTTTCGGTCCTACACCTAGCCGATGTGGGACTTTTTGTCCGTGACATTCTCCTCTACCCAATCACGTGACGCCCTCGTCAAGGAGTGGCTCCACCGAGGGTCCCACTGGACCATGGAGAGTCCACACAATTGGCAGACAGTAATCTGCTCTGATACCACTTGTCATCTCCCAAAAGAGCTCTTTTGGGAGGCGACATGTTGCTCACTTTCGACTCTTCTTATCGCATAGAAATTCCCTTAAACAAAAACCTCTTACATTTCTTTTCAGACGATAAGGGGAGTAGATCACTCGAGCCAGTCATCACAGCCTTCCCCCATAACAAAAAACATAAGATATGTTCCCTCATAACACAACAACCAATATATACACACGTATATATACATATATATACACATGCACGCGTGCGCGCGCACACATACACACACACATATATAGCTACATATCTACATATCTATATACATAGAGATATTAATATAGATGTGCACGTATATATACATATATATACACATATGCACGCGTGCGCACGCACACATACACACACACACACATATATAGCTACATATCCACATATCTATATACATAGAGATATTAATATAGATGTATGCATATATATAGCTACATGTCTCTATAGAAATATATATATATATATAGATGTGTGTATATATATAGATATATATAAATACATATTTACATATCAATATAGATAGATACAGATATAGATGAATGTATATATATAGATAGATACATTTAGAGATGTATCTATATATATATAGATAGAAACATATACTATTTATATTGATAGATATAGTAGAGATGTATTGATAGATACTGATATAGATGTATGTTTATATATATACTATATATATATATATAGATATATAGATAGATATAGATATATGCATGTATATATATATACACTATACATATATAAATATATACATGCATATACATATATACGTACCTATATAAAGAGGATAGAAGAGTCCAACCACTGGCACAAGTGTAAAATAAAAAATCTGCTATCAGCAGATTCAAAATGACAAATAAAATAAGGTAAATACAATATTTTTTAGTGGCATTTACATACATACTGAACAATTCTTATCAATTTATATATCTATAACCTATACTTTAATTTTTACATTTCTAATACTAAAATTTCTTTTATCACATAAAAAAAGATCATTTTTAGCTCACTTTTTAAGTGAAATAAACTTTTGATACATCCCTAAAGTGATATTAATATGCACATTAAAATTTAGTGTTGATATATAAATACATAGGAATTAGACAGTGCAGTAAAATTCACTCCGTCATAAGCCAAGCTCCTCCCCGAACAATGAAAGGCGGCCGGAAGAAAATCGATACTCCGCCGCCCTCCGACGAACAAGCTGCGGCCGGCGGCGATGATGCCGTTCCCTCTTCGGAACCACAAGGAGCCGCTCTTGAAGAAAAAGCAGCAACTTTGGAAGAAAAGGCAGCAGCTTTGGAAGAAAAAGAAGAAGAGGAGGAGGAGGAAGTGGAAGCAGAAATCGCCGATGAAGAAGGGGTTTCAGAGAAAGATCGACAAGACGAAGCTCCCCGAGAAGGCGAGCCTACAAAGCTCGAAGAAGGTTTTTACGAGATCGAAGATATTCGCAAGAAGCGTATTCGAAAGGGCGAAGTCCAATATCTCATCAAATGGTAGTCTTACTCTCCCCCCTTCTTGTACACCCTTTTCCTAGGGTTTCGTTTTCAAAAGCTAAAATTTGTGAAAAAAAATCCAATTTTGAAGGCGTGGATGGCCGGAAACTGCCAATACATGGGAGCCAATCGAGAATCTTAAGTCCTGCGCGGATTTCATTGAGGTTTTTGAGGAGAGATCACCATCTCGAGGCCGAAAGAGAAAAAGGAAGCACAGTGGACTCAATAATGCGTTTATCAAGAGGAAACCGCGTTCTGTAAGGAACGAAGAGGCGTCTCCTTCTATTGAGAATGAGCTTAGAAAAGAGAAGCAGATTGTTGACGAGGTTGAGGCAAATGGATCTCATGAAGCTGATGAGAAGAAGAAGGAGAGTGACAAGGAGGCAGGGCATATTTCAATCCAGCTCAATGTGCCTGCTGTGGAGGAAGAAGGATCCATGGAGGATGGGGCCTCAAAAGTTGAGTTTTGCCATCCTGTTGGATCAAAGAAGAGGAAGTCTGGTTCTGTGAGAAGGTTCAAGCAGAATTCTGTTCATTGTCAACAGGATGAAGCTCATAATGTAGTTATTGCAGGAGAAAAGCTGGGGAATGAAGGTGCCGATTCAAATGAGAATGAGGAGGAGATTGGAAACAAGACAAAAAAGCTTGATGATTCAATGAATCCACATACCATTACCAAGATTCTGAAGGCTGTGCGTTACCATGCTTCTGTTACTGATAATGTTCAGCAAGTTTCCATTATTTTTACTGCATTGAGGTCTGATGGACAGGAAGTTCTTGTGGATAACAAGGACTTGAAGCTCAGTAATCCATTGCTTTTGATAAGCTATTATGAGCAGCATCTGCGTTATAGTCCTCTTTCATGAGTTGCAGAGCTGAAATAAGCTAATTTTCAACTTGATTGAATCCAAACTTATTGATTTTTTCATCTCTCAATTCAAGTTTGCAAATTGGCTGGTGGAGGTAGATGGTTCTGTTGTGTTTCTGCTGACCTTTTTGAAGGAATTCATGTTGCAGAATTGGTAATTTGGAGTGATTTATATGGTTTAGAGAGGTTTTGAAGTCTGATGTTATGTGTGACAGTAATGCAGTTAGTTATCTTGACTTGAATACTAACAAGGTGATGAAGTCTTATTTTGATTTATGGTACAAGGCACCACATTGTGAATATATGAAGATTATTTTTTATTTCTTATTTTGGGTCCTGTACATACATACCACCCAATTCTTATGTATTTACGTATCTAACACATAAAATTCATTTTTTTTTTTACATTTATACCTCCCAAATATTTCACATCACATCAAAATAACACTATTTTAACTTTCAAGAAGTGGGAGACACCCTTTCATGCATAAATAAGATGTCATATATATGTAATAATTAAAGTTTAGCTGTTAGTTATGTCAATACAAAGGAATTGAGAGGTATGTATGTAAATACATAATGAATTTATCTAATTTTCATTTTTCCATCTATAGAACTACATAAGATAAGTTTGTGTTTATTTTGATGGACTTATGTTTTTCTTATTATATTTTTGGCTGACATTTGCTTTGTGGCCCTAGAAATTATATGAAATCAGTTATCGGCTATAAGCATAAGAATCAAAGAGTATTTTTTGTTGCTTCATAATAAAACTATTCATATTTCACCCATCTTCTTCAGTAATTCTTGCTTGATGATTAAAAAACTGATGGATTCTTTTTTTAAGCACCTGATATTTTCTGAAGTTAAATTCTGGCTTTTTAATGGAACTTTCCTGAACTTTTTTACTTTTCATGTTCATCACCAGAGATTATTTTTGACACCTTGTTGTAATAAATTAACAAATACAGGATCATAGGATTCCCAAATTTTGCTTTGTACTTGGCAGATTGATTTATGTATATATATAAAAATGTTTGATTCATATTTGAAGTACATTTTTAAGTCATACAAATACAGGATCATAGGATTCCCAAATTATGCTTTGTACTTGGCAGATTGATTTATATATATATATATATAAATGTTTGATTCATATTTGAAGTACATTTTTAAGTTTGAAAAATTCTATGACATCACTTCATTAATTTAAGAGCCACTTCCACATTCCTTGTTGAAATCACACCATTTGATAGTATTAGATTCTTTCACTCGTATCTATTCATTGTTGAAATCACACCATTTGACACCGTTTTTGTTTTCAAGGTCTCAATCTTTTATGACTTATATCTCCATAATTTCTCTAAGAAATTCTAAAGTTTGTAATATGTTTATGGAAGTTCTACATAAATGCCGCCTAATTCCTATTTATTTATACCTAACACCTATGTATTTAGATTATCATTATTGATGGATGCGTGCATGGATGGATGGATGCTGAAATGACAAAATGCGCTTTTAATGAAGAAGGTCAAAATAGATGATTAATTTTTAAAGTAGATAACTCCCTTATCTACAAAATATGGACATTTGATTTCAAAGAAAAAGCATTTATTAAGAAGTTAAAACAGTCGATCACAGTGTATCAGGTTAATAAAACACTCTACGTATTAACAGAAGAAGGCGTACATAGATATATGTGAGATATCATATATATCCATATTTTTCTAATTCAAATTTCATTCAAACCACTCACCTTGAAAGGTTTAGATGGAATGATATTTGCTTTCTTGAGAGACGGTACATGCTTTAACTGGGCCCATTCTCTCATGGGTGTCATTGAAACCAGGGTGTGCCACGGGCCAATCTATTTCAACACCTTTCCTAATTTTAGTTTATCTTTGATGGACGTCTACCTATTTGAAGTCGTCAAACTCCAACTACAGCTACATGGTTATGATTTTCTCCCAAGATTGAAACCATAACTTTGGTGTTTAGAATTCACTTTCAAATTCTAAATACTTTAAACCCTAATATTACAAAGGTAGTTCAATCAATGGAAAGAACTGCCTAAATTGAAACCAACCTCTTAGCCTCCCATATTTCCACTAATAGAACTATTAAATGGAATGGGGTAACATTTCCTAAGTCATGGACTATTCAATCAGCCTTGACTCCAAAATCGATTATAAATCAAAACATCAATCAAATATCCAAGCATCTTATGTAAATGTGGAAGTAAGATTTAATCCTAGAAGGTCGATAACTATTCATAGAATATCGATCCCATCAAAAACTTCTATTGATTCATCTTCAACCCATGAAGAAGCAATAGTAGAAGCTCTTCAGCTAAATAGAAATCAAATTTTCCATCGAACGAGAGAAAATCATTCTCTCACACCTACAGCTTCTAAAATAAGAAAAAACTTCTATTGATTCATCTTCACCCCATGAAGAAGCAATAGTAGAAGCTCTTCAACTAAATAGAAATCAAATTTTCCATCGAACGAGAGGAAATCATTCTCTCACACCTACAGCTTCTAAAATAAGTTTTAATTTTTAATGAATTATGCTCCAGGAAATAATATGATAACTATTCTCATTAGAGAATATCATCAACCTCGATATGAAAATTTTAGGCAATGGTATCGAAAGAACACCACTGAAGAATTTTGTCTTGAAATATGCAAGATATATTTTAATGACATGCATAAAAGAAATAAGCAAGGGAAATGAGTCACTACATTCGTCTCTTGGTTCAATCAGCACTATACTAATCAAGCTCGACTCGCTATGATTAGTTAAAAATGAAAATGAATAAAAAGAGATAATTAAGTCACCATATCCTCTTTTTGAAAGTCCGCATTAGCAATGATAAATATGATTAAGGATTTATTACTGTATTAAAACAATTAAAATATTATAAATAGTACTTTACAAACAATTGTAGAATATTTATTTCAAATTGAAAATAAATTAGATCAGCTTTTCAAAAACTCTAGGAGCCTAAAAGGAAAGTTATTAAAAACAAAATAGCCTTAGAAAAGGAAAAATCTACTCTCCCAATAATTAGGTATCCTAACATTCAACCTCCACCAAAGCTTGACCTAAATATTGAACCAAGCAATACGGATTTAGAGAATTACCTTTCCAAATATAAAGAAAAATCTCTAAGAACTATGAAAAAAAATAATAATATTTATCCATCGAAGATGATCTCTTTAACGCTAAGGTAGATGATTTAGCTGAAGCATTTCAAAATCTTCAGACTAATGATTCTTTGGAAATTAATAAATTAATCATCCAAAAAAGCCTCTTGAAAAATATTATATAGTTGTCATCCTCCTATGGATATTAACTTTGGTGAAACTTCCACTGGACATCATATGACGTATGACGATAGATGGCTTTAGTGATCATCAAATTTGTATAGAAATTCACCAAATGATGGTCTATGCTACTATGACACAATTTAGGCGATACACTTCACCTCTAGCAGTCAGGATGATTGTTAGTGGATTCACAAGAAAGCTCTAAGAATGGTTTTAACTGATAATCAAAAAGAAAATAATCTAAGTGAAAAAAACATAAAAGATCCCTCAAAGACAAATGAAGAAGCAATTTTCTCTTTAATAACTGCAATTCTTGAATATTTCATAGGAAATGTATCTGACCAAGGAGAAAGAACCATATCCATTCTCCAAAAGTTAAGATACCTATCACTCACTCACTTTAGATGGTATAAAGATATCTTAGCTAGAGTATCCGATGTTAATTCGGTTCATTAGAAATAAAATTTATAAAAGGATTACCTAATATGTTCGGAGAAAAAATAAAAAGAAACCTTTGAAGCCCACAAACAGGTGATATTTCATATGATATCCTTACATATGACATCTTATAAATTTGTGTGCTAAAATTGGTTTTGAGTTTTGTGCTGATATTAAACTCAAGAAACAACTCAAAAGAGAAAGACTCATTGAAAGAGAACAATTAGAAGAATTATGTTAGCAATTTACTCATGACATCTCCATAATTGCTCCCTCTCAAAAGGAAAAAAATAGGATTATTCCAAAGAATTATTATGTAAAGATTTATTTTTAATGTGTTTCATTCCATTAATAAATTCTTTTTGAGGATCAGTATCGAAATGAAGTGTAATATTTTCTTAAAACAACATAGCAACTAATGTCATTTTGATCAATTTTTTGAATGGGCATTATTTGCAACAAAAAAAGAGTACCCAATATGATATGTTGGGAGAATTTTTTTATAAATAAAAATGAAGCAATAATACAAATATCTTATTTACAAATAGATGCATTTGAAATTCATAGGCAAATATTTAAAATAATATAATATGCAAAAATTAGGCCAAAATAAACTTGGAAAAAATTGTGAAATTTGAATCCTACATATGCTCTAAATTTGGACGAATTTTGCAATATTTAGTTCAAGAAAAAAGTAACAATATAATTTGAAAAAATATAAATAAATTCTTAAGGATTTAATACACTTAAATAAGTGTTTACACCAATATATTATGAAAAAATTTTGGCGAAAACCGTAAGAAAAAAAAAATTTATAGAAAAACATATTATACCTTATAATTACCTCTTAATTGATAAAATTAGTTTAACTAGAACACAAGTGTGACTAGTGAACTCATGTTTAAGTGAAACTTAATAAAAATTCTATAGGCATTCATTTTATAATTATTTATAATTATTTATAAATTATTTCCCATAATTTATTAGTTAAAAACATTAATTGGGTAAAAATATATAAAATAATATTTTTAGATTATTCTAGAGAGAGAAAATGTTATACTATATTATTTTTTAAATTAAGCATAATAGTAAAAAAATATTCAAGCCATCATTCTATAAATAATGTTAATGTATTACATTCTCAATATGAGATAAAAATTAAGCTTGTTATGCGAAGATATAAACATTTTATCATGGACTAATTCTTTTCAGATTATTCACGAGAGATAAAATTTTTCCTCATATTATTTTTAAAATTAAGCATAACATTGAAAAAATATCAAACTATCATTTTATAAATAATGTTAATGTCTTACATACCAAAAATCAGATGAAGATATGAACGTGGTGTGGAGATATAGACTTTTATGTAAAATAATTATTTCAATTAATTTGTAGAGAAAATACTTATTTAAAACTAATTTCAAAAATTAGGTTATCAAGATATGCAATAAATGAGTGATTCAAGCTAAATAATAGTGAGCTCTTATTTGTCTTATTGTTTACATATCAT